CCCATGCTTCGCAGTATGTTGGAAACACCCGTTTTAGCTACAGAAAGTCAACATACGAGAATACCCCTAGAGTCTGCGAGAGCGGGGGCGGAAGATGACTCATCGGCTGACAACATGGTAACGACTGGACCGGAAACGACTACGAGTAATGAGAGCACAGCACAAGAGAACACCACAGCAACTGTCACAAGTTCCGCTGCAACAGCGGGCCACAAACAGATGCAGGTATGTGTCTGTGGTTGGAGGAAAGTTACATCACACCATGGGTTGAGGATCCACCAGGGGAAGAAGGGGTGTTTGGGTAAAGAGAGACAGAGGCCTCGCATTGATTACTTTCTGCGAAAGCGATCAAATCAATTGAATGAAGCACAGCAACTGGACGCAAACCATAGTTTGCAGTGCATCAGTACCACTGTCATGGAGGACGTAAACTCAAGCACCGAAGTGAAGTAACAACTGAGGTGGAACCAACAACAGGAGTGGAACTCACCCAGCCTCCCAGACCTGCAGTCGAGAGGAGACTACCAGGGCACAGACCGTATGTGAAGTGACCTGGCGCCAGTGACAAGAAGTTGTGGGAAACAGTGAATACTGACCTTACCTTGACCCTCGAGAAACTTCGAGGCACAGCGGAGAAGAAGTTGGAGAGGATGGGGGACATCATTTATAAGTACGGGGCAGAAAGCTTTGGAGTGCAAGAGGCAAAAGGCGGGAGAAAGGTTCCAACCCCACCAGTTTCCAGGAGGCAACAAGAAATCAAGCGCTTCGTTCAAGAAAGGAGACAGCTTAAGAAACAGTGAAAGAAAGCCTCGGAAGCGGAAAAGGAGGGCATAGAGGCCCTTCAGGCTGACATCAAAACCCGGTTGGCATCCCTCCGTAGAGCAGAGAACCTACGGAAACGCAGAAGGAAGAAAGAACAAACGAGAACTCGATTCTATAAAGATCCCTTCAAGTTCCTTAAAAGTCTCTTCACGAAGGAAAAAAGTGGAGTTCTAAAAGCAACAAAGAAATACCAAGAAGAGCACCTGAGAACAACAAACTTTGACTCAAAGCGACATGAACATCTGGCCATCCCATCAGATATCCCACCTATTGAACCCCCGGAACATCATATTGAGACCAGCCCTCCGACATGGAAAGAGGTGGAAAACACAGTTCGAAGGGCAAGAACAGCATCAGCCCCGGGGCCAAATGGAGTCCCGTACAAAGTGTATAAGAACGCACCAGACGTCCTGAGGTTCCTCTGGAGGCTTATGAGAACAGCTTGGCAAAAAAAAGATAATACCCAAAGTGTGGCGTAGGGCAGGCGGGGTCCTGATCCCTAAGGAGAAGGATGCAGTGAACATCAGCCAATTCCGCCCAATCTCCTTACTGAATGTCGAGGGTAAATCTTCTTTAGGGTCATTGCCCAGAGGATGGCCGAGTACCTGCAAAGGAATGCGTACGTCGATACATCTGTACAGAAGGCAGGGATATCAGGGTTCTGTGGCTGCTTGGAACATTCCAGCATGATCTGGCACCAGATCCAAATGGCCAAGGTGGAGAAAAGGGACCTCCATGTAGTCTTCCTCGACCTCGCCAATGCATTTGGCTCTGTGCCCCATGAACTCCTGTGGTCTGCCTTCAAATTTTTCCACATACCGGACACCATCACAACCCTGGTGAAGTCGTACTTTCAGGATCTGCAGTTCTGCTTCACCACCTCAGAGTTCACCACCTCATGGCAATGCCTGAATGTAGGTATAATGGCGGGATGTACCATTTCTCCATTGGCATTCATAATGGCAATGGAGGTTATCATCAGATCCTCAAAATGGGTTGCTGGTGGACAGCGAGTCGACTCTGGTTTTCGCCTCCCTCCACTCAGAGCCTACATGGACGACATTACAACATTGACCACCACTGCCCCATGCACCACGAGACTGCTCAGAAAACTCGAGGAGAACATCAGCTGGGCCCGTATGAAGATTAAACCATCCAAGTCACGCAGCATCTAGATTGTGAAGGGAGTACTCTGTGACCTGAAATTCTTCATCGGAGATGACCAAATCCCAACAGTGTCTGAGCAGCCGGTAAAAAGCCTTGGAAGGTGGTATGATGCAAGCCTGAAGGACAAAGACCAGGTGCAACAGCTGCGCAAAGACATCAGTAGTAGCCTACAGTCCCTCGACAACACCCAGCTACCTGGAAAGTTAAAGGCCTGGTGTCTGCAGTTTGGTCTCCTACCCCGGGTGTTGTGGCCCCTAGCAGTGTATGAGGTTCCAATCTCAACAGTGGAGAAGATGGAAAGAGGAATCACGAGCTACTTAAAGAAGTGGCTCGAAGTTCCACGATGCCTTACCACCATAGGCCTCTATGGAGATGGTGTCCTCAAGCTGCCCCTCACCAGTCTAACCGAGGAATTCAAGTGTGCAAAAACCAGGCTCCAGATGACACTGAATTAATCTCGAGACCCAGTGGTGAGCAGCAACGCGCCGACCTTGGCAACTGGGCGCAAATGGAGGCCAGGAAAAGCAGTCCAGGAGGCAACAGCAGCCCTCAGACATGCTGACATTGTGGGTCATGTTCAGCAAGGGAGAGGAGGCCTTAGGCTAACTAGCCGTGCTGCTTGGAGTAAGGCCACTGCACCAGAGCGGCGGAAGATGGTAGTGCAGGAAGTACTCCATCAGGAGGAGGCTGCAAGGTGGGCCAAGGCAGTCTCTCTTGCCAAACAGGGACAGTGGACTCGATGGGACAGTGTGGAGAAGAAGAAGATCAGCTGGAAGGATCTGTGGGCCATGGAAGCGAGGCGGTTGAGCTTTTCCATCAGAGCAACATATGACGTCCTTCCAACACCAGTTAATCTTCACCAATGGTATGGTGAAGATCCGGACTGTGCCCTCTGTTCCATGCCAGCCAACCTCAGGCACATTCTCACAGGGTGTAAAACAAGCCTCACCCAAGGACGCTACACTTGGCGTCACAACCAAGTCCTTAAAAACCTTGCGTCTGCCCTGGAGGACAAGCGAGCTGCCACCAACTCCCTACCACCCCCAGCAGCATCACACCCCTTACGGACGACCTTTGTCCGCGAAGGGGCTAAACCACTGAAGAGCGGCTCTACACCAATAGAGCGAGACCAGCTGCGCTTGGCCCGTGACTGGAAAATGCTAGCTGACATTGGCCGGCAACTTGTGTTTCCTCCGGAGATCGCAACCACCACCCTAAGACCTGACATGGTGCTCTGGTCCCGTTCGCTCAAGAAGGTCTTCATCATTGAGCTCACAGTACCCTGGGAGGACTCAGTAGATGAGGCTTATGAGTGAAAACATCTGCGCTATGCCGATCTAGCTGCCGAAGCACGGCATCATGGCTGGAACACAGAATTCCGACCAGTGGAGGCGGGCTGCAGAGGTTTTGTGGCAACATCTACAACCAGACTGCTTAGAGACCTGGGAATTAAGGGCCAGAGCCAGCGTTCGGCAATCAGAGCTGTATCTGAGGCGGCAGAAGGCAGCAGTCAGTGGCTCTGGATGAAGAGGAAAGACCCCAGCTGGGCCCCAAAGTGAGAGGGCCAGGAGGTATGCAGTCAACAATGCTTGACTCAGGGAGGAGGACGCCCCTGCCATGCATAGTCCCATGGGATGTTGGTTATCAACAACAAGGCAACTCATATGACTAATTGGGAATGGGACACAAGCATAGGATTGATCACCCTGTCGCTGGCCGCCTTTGGGGAGGGTGTATAGTATGAAAGGCCGAAACACCCTAGGAACCAAAGGTTCACTACTGACGATGCGCTCCCCAAATTTCACGAGGCTCACTGTTCATGAACTCTTGGAAGTGCTTGCACAAAGGATAGTAACATCTCATCCTGTGTTCTTTGGAATCCCCTTAACAGAATAACAACCTATGGTGGTGACCACCAGGCTAACTACACTAATTACAATGTAGCTAGCTACTACGGACCGGGACCACAGCTCGGGTCCAGGTCCACGTGTTGGAGACTCGGAGAATGTAGAACGTAGACGAAGGTTTCTTCAGGATGAACAACAACGCCGGTCCATCTGGGGGACCCGGCTTATATTCTCTGCGGCGTGGCTGGCTCCGCCCTTGGCCACGACCACCTTCCAGAATCCTCGAGCAGGATCTGAACCTTGACCACGTGACCCCCCTAGCCCCCACCCTGGGCCCCTTTGTAGACTTAACCGGTCACGTGTCAACCAGAGTGCCATGGCCTTTAGTAACCCCATTCCTACGGCCGGCACTCCCACACCCTATCCTGTAGGGCTGGCACTGCACGCCAAGCGTGGTGCCACCTAGTGCTATCAACCAGCGCTCACTGAGCTCCTCTAGGGCCAGTACTACACCCATATCATAGCAGTGTCCGCAATGTCGTTACATCGCACGCCGTGCCTCTCTAGGGCCGTCACTGTACAGTGACATCCCGTGATGTCACTACAATAGCATAGCGCTATAAAATTGTCACGAATACCAATTGTATTAAAGTGATAATAACCATAGTTTCAAATTTGTAAGCCCATTGTTATATTTTTCGATTTGATCTTATTCAGCTCATCAGTTCTACACAATCCATGTTATAATTGTTTTTTGGGTTAGGTCAAATGTACAAAATTGATATAAAATTTCGCATAAAACTACGTCAAGCATCTTCAGAATAAGATCCAGTAAAGTCATGTAACATTTTTTTGTCTTCCTCACTTGGCTGTGAGAATTGTTCTTCAACTTACTGGTGAGCTGAAACAATCACAATTGGTGCGTTAAACGCTTGTAAATATAAACATTATATTTAGTTGCCCATATCGGGTTTAGAGGGGCTTATTACACAGATTTGGCTGGATCATTTCGTGGCCCAAACCAATTTTTTTTAATAGTCTTTTTTACATGCGCCTACCTTATTTTATTAACCAAGTTGCAATGTAGAGTATTAGGTTGCCAAAATATACTATCCCAAGTACTGAGCATATACTGTATGTATCCGTATGCACGTGTGTATATACTTTGGCTGTGAGCGAGATTTATTTGCAGTCGTCGCTGCAGGTGCTTTGTTTCCATCTCGGAGAGCTGTCGAGCTCGTTTGAGGCTGTGTGGTTCTGATACTTGATGGTTGAGGAGTCGTTCAGCTCGCTTGACTTCTTGATGCCGCCAACTCTGCGCTGGGCTCGGCTTAAACATCACACTGTGGAGAGGGGTAGATGGAAGTTCATCATCATTATCATGCATGATCAATCCATTGCTGGATTAAGGTCTCTCCAATCTTCCACCACTTCTAATGATTCTGAAATGCAACAATCCATTCCGGAACCAGCACATGAACTGATGTCATCGCTGTATCTCCTCGGTGGATGTACTCTCGATTGCGTTCCATTTTGTGACTGCCACTCTGTTATCACTCTTGACCACCATTGGTCATCTCTTCCAGCCGTATCCTGCCCAAGCCCACTTACTCTTTTTGATAGTTTCCATGAAGTCATTAACCTGCGTATGTCCTCTAATCTATGCGTTGGTCTTTCTGTCTCTCGATGTGATTCCAATAATGCATCTCTCCATGCTTATTTTCATGGATGTTATACACCTTTTACAGAGGTAGACCAAGACAGCTGAAGACACAGTTACTGAGGATTATTCAGTAAAAGTCACCCATTGATGCAAAAACAACTTTTGAAACTCAATGTGGCATTGCGAATGAAGACATGTATTTAAAATAAACATTCGTAATTTAGAAATGTTAACCACTGTAGGAATACAGAAACCTTAATAATGTCACACCTTACTCATCAGATGAACATATTTGGGGCGGTGACATGGCCCAAGAGGTTCGTTGTTTGATTCCGGCAGGCCGCCCTGGTTAATACTTTGGTGTGTATATTCTTTGGTTCTTTCGGTAAAGTCACGTAGATAGAAAAATAATAATACAAAGAATGTTAATAAAAAAAATGTAGCCTGTTTCTTAATCGGAGCGAGTGTACTGGCAGTCTATAATGTAGACCGTAGCTTGGTTCTTAACCTCGGTGAGTGTACTAGCAGTCTATAATGTAGACTGTAGCCTGAAAAAAAGAAATATAACAGTACTGTAGTAGTACGCTCACCGAGGTTGTCTACATTATAGACTGCCAGTACACTCACCCAGCTTAACCACTGCTACAGTCTACTGTGAAACTACTGCTGACATTGTGAAATAGCACCGACGTGACAGCCTTGCACTGTAAAGATAGTTTGAATACCAAATATAGTTGTTTTATTTAGCACAAAATATATTATCGGTGTACAAAAAACTGCCGAAAATGTACTCTGTTGGAAGATAATGTGTTCACATAGGGAAATATTCTACACTCAAATCCACATCCCCGTCACACCCCGTGCCCCCTCTTCTCTCAACAGAATGTCCCCACTAATCCCTCCACAGCACCCGATATTCGTAGTAATTCTGCTAACCTCCATGCGTATGCGGGTGTATGGAACGCAATGTGTTGGGTTTTTAAATTGAGCTGTATACTGTATAAACATACAAATCCCATCTCCAGTTCATTTTGGTGTGCCTATTTAAGCCCGTCGTGAAGATGAAGAATTTAAGACTTGATGACTACGATGCCCTTTCTGCAGTCACCACATGTAATTTGTTAAATGTAAGACAGGTGTTATTCCACAATTTGTTGTCGGATCGGGAGAGGGTGTTGTTGTACATTATTATTAGGGTTGTTCAATGATAACCGATATACCGGTATGTTCAGAATCGATTACCTGTTGTGAAAGGCAATAGCAACCAGGAACAGTTTGTCGTGGAACGGACTACAAACCGCACGGCAACCCACTATTTGCAATACTATTGAAATAGTTCAATAGCACACTGGACTTTTGGATTTGCACTTTTGCAAATAGTGCAATACTATTGCAAAGAGTGCAATATCACACTGGACTATTGAAAATCCGGTGTGTTATTATACCAATATACATTGCAATTGGTGCGGCAAATTGATGTTACTTATATTTTTACGTTAAAACAAATGTTAAAACATAATAAAAACAACTTGTATTCGTGATACTGTAATTGCCCTCTGCTTGTGCATTGACTCACTGCTTTAGCCAAACGAGTTCACAACTTCATGTAGGCCTATCATCATTACAATCATAGTGCGTTTTTTAACCTTCCGTTTAAAGCACACATTTGTTTGAAGACCCTGTGGTTTAGTCCCAGTTGGTTTGACTCAAGTGATAGTTACTGTTTCGTGGACAGAAAATGACGATACCACACAGATGAGATGTATACATGGGTTGGAATAGCAACCCGCCTTACCTTAGTGATGTCTGGCTCATCTTGTCACACAGGTGTGTGTGTGTGAATACATCATGAGCATTGCATGACGTAGGCAGCATTGTCTAAAGAAATGCAATTATGCAAACTTCGTACAAAGAATTATTTATCTGCAAATAAACACTTAGGTCTGGCACAGTCAAACACGCCTGGGCATGTCTGGCTGGCCCCGTAGAGTCAACATTGCACGAGTAAATGTTGTGTAATATATTAAGGATTCATGGCAGTTCACATTCGGCCACCTGAGTTTGTGAAGCATCATATGAACTGGTTATAAAACTGTATGTTACTCGTGTATATTAACGTATCCTTGTTCAACGTATCTCATCTCCAGTCAATATCGACCAGAGCAGATGCCACCAAAAAAATAACGATGCAAATATGAAGATGGAAGTCCTGCTTTTTAGTCTTGTTCCTCTTCGTTCTGAAAGAGTTCGTGTGATGTCCAAAAACAATAGTATCAATCAATCTGTGGACGGCAAAACTTAATTTCCAAATGCACAGTAAAGGTGTACTTGTGTAGTGAGTCATACTGAGTCGCAGACGTTGTCTTGGGAGTAACACTATTTATTAAGCAACTTCAACATAACATGACGCAATTTACACTCGGGTACCGAAGGCCCATCTAACCACGTTATGGCAGAACTAGACACGGCTCACTATTCTGGCCTGGACCACAAGCTGAGTCCCGGACCGCGTGGCTAGAGGCTTCTTCTCCCTGACGTGGATCTTCTTCACACCAGCACACGAAGAACCCCGAGCTCCTCACAGGGCCCCCGTTATATCCCCCTGGGCTGGGGCTGGCTCCGCCCTTCGCCCCGCCCACCTTCCAGATCTCTCGAGCTCTTTCTCGAAGGCTCCCGAGAGCTCTTTTAGACCTCGTGACTGCCCAGCGGCCTCCGTCCACCGGTGGCCCCCCTCCAAAATCATCCGGTCACGTGTCAGCAGGCCAACCAGCATATTATGCCGCAACGTCACCCTGGCTGGCTGACGCTCCCTCTCGCTCCTTCACCGGGAGCCCGCATCGCACACTGCTCGTGGTTACACGAGCCGCCACAGACACCACAAAATGCCAGTGTCCTCAACCTAGCCAAGTCCAGAACTGAAAATGGAAATAATAAACACAACTACAATACATCTTATATTCGCTGCTACATCCCCCATATCAATTATAACCACATTTACGTGTACACCACAACTACAGTTGCAATATCACTCTTTTATATTTCCCTCATATACAATTTTAAACAATGGATCCAAATATAATTTCCATCTATTTGCATCACTAAATAAAACTCCAATCAGAGGTTATCGTAATGTAAATAATTTGGTGCATTACTCTTATCTGAAAATCTAAAATTGCGGCCAATAGCAGACTTCAAATTGTAATTGGGGGATCTTTGAACATGACGTGTTTGCACTTGCTTGCAAGGACACGTCTGGCTCTGTATCTCTGCATAAGCACCATGAACATGCATAGAGATAGACATGGAGACAAACATACTGACACAGAAACACAAAGACATTGAGACACAGTAAAATCTAATTGTTCCGATTTAAAGCTTTCGTGACTGCAGGGATTCATCTTCTTGGTTCTTTCGGTAAAGTCACGTAGAAGGGAAGTAATAAAATAATAAAAATAATTATTATGTTTTATTTTTATTATTTTATTACTTCCCTTCTACGTGACTTTACCGAAAGAACCAAGAAGATCTAATTGTTCTCTGATCGGAATTTGATTTGTTGTCTCAATTATATGGCCGTGATTTTCATGGTATGTTTATTAACTAGCACTTGTTGTTTTAGTTATAGCTGAAGATACGTGATGGGGCAAAGCTTGCAACAATAATTTAAATTTTAGCGCCTAGCCTGCATTAAATATCAGAAAGTATTAAACGCTGAATATATGGTTAACATTTTTTTTTAAACACACAGTTAATGCATAGCCTGGTTGATTACTTTCTTCCAAAGATTGCAAAATTAGAAGTTAAGTGTGAAACAGACAAGTACAGAATAACATTTTAGAGAGAGAAATAGGAAGTTTTTAAAATAAATTGAGTAAAATTAGGGAGTGTAATGCAATGCAACATAGAGAGTCGGCTAACACACAGCTAACGCATAGCCTGGTTGATTACGTTATCCCAAAGATTGCTAAATTAGAAGTTAAGTGTGAGTTGCGAGGAAACCCTCCCCGTAGAGGTGGTTCAAACTAGATTCGAATCGTTCGTGACTGCGGGAATTTCTCTTTGGTTCTTTTGGTAAAGTCACGTAAAAAAATAAAATTAAATAGATTACGATGTTTCGATTGCAACACAAGCAACCATCATCAGGTAAGAATTAATGAGAAAACAAACATAGTAAACTTAGAAATATAATACAATACAACATAGAGAGTCAGCTAACACAACAGTCAATACCCCACCTGGTTGATTACGTCCTTCCAAATATTTCTAAATTTGAAAGAAAGACAAAACACAGACACAGAGACACATATAATGAGAGAGACACACACAGAGACACACAGCCAGAGACACACACCAAGAAAAAACAGAAAGACAACGCCTCTATGTCGAGGCCTTAAATAGAGAGAGCGGGGAGGGGTTGGGGCAGAGAGAGGGGGAAGAGGAGATTGGGGTAGAGAACAGTGAGAGAGTTGTGTGGAATTCTGGAGCATAGTGGCCAGAGGAGAGACAATGGACTTATAAACAAACCAGCACGGCAATATTTAGAGCAAGAAAATAGGAAGTTTGAGAAAGTAAATTTAGTAAAATTAGGGAGTGTAATGCAATGCAACACAGAGAGTTAGCTAACACACAGTTAACGCATAGCCTGGTTGATTACGTTCTCCCAAAGACTGCTAAATTAGAAGTTAAGTGTGAGTTGCGAGGAAATCTTCCCCGTGGAGGTGGTTCAAACTAGATTCGAAGCTTTCGTGACTGCAGGAAATACTCTTTGGTTCTTTCGGTAAAGTCGCGTAGAAAATAAAATAAAATTATTATAGAATACGACGTTTCGACTGCAACACAAGCAACCATCATCGGGTAAGAATGAATGAGAAAATTAACATAGTAAACTTAGAAATGTAATGCAATACAACACAGAGTCGGCTAACACAACAATCAACACCCCACCTGGTTGATTACATTCTTCCAAAGATTGCTAAATTTCAGAGAGAAACAAAACACAGACATTGAGACACATAGACAGACACACATGCAGAAAGTTTTGGCTGCTCCTTATCATTACTCCCATTATGCATGATCTTTTTGCAGATAAGTGGAGGTCCCCAAGAAATGTATCCCATTATCCGTGATTATTCCTCTGCAGATATGCGGATAAGCCAAGATTTTGATATGGGTTCTCCATATCGAAACAGATAAGAGGAGTTCTGTATATAGATGTTTCAAATTGCTTAATAAGCAGGGAGTAACCATGATACATAGACATGGGGCGATCACAGGAAAGCGTGTATTGTACCATGTGCTTAGCGTCAGAGTTTTAGGGAATTGTAGGCAAGACTGTAAACATAGGTATTTCATCATTGTTGCAAGACTGGTGGTTCCGCATTTTATGACTTCTTTGTGAGTTTTATAGCTATGTGCACTCTTGTGGTTAGTGCATAAGGCTCTGACTCCGTTATATATGAGTGGGGGTTGGACTGTTTAGAGATGTTTCCAAGGAGCCGTGGGTTTCACATTTTTACACTATTGTAGAGAACATTTCCCTCCTGTCCCCTGGTGTACCTGGTATTAAGCACCTCCAATTAGCACTGTTGGCTACGTATGGTGCGAAAGATGTTCAACATACAGTACATATGTAGAGGTGATACGCGCTGGGATTAAGGATCGTATGCACAGTGCGTGATGATTGGCTGTGTAGGTGGTGACGCGCGCTGACGGTGGAGGATCAGGGGTCAGCGCGGGGTCGTGGGTTACGGGGTACCGATTGGCTGTGGGCGGTGACGCGCTGAGAGGGAGTGATCAGGTGGCAGTGCAGTGTGATTGGTGGAGTAATGTTAACACGCGCTGGGGAAAGCGGATCGTAGAGAGAGTGCGTCGTGATTGGGTCATTAAGGAACGACGCACACGTCGACGCCGCATCAGCTCCGTCTCTCGTGAGCAGGGGCTATAAAAGGGGATGCACACAGGCGTAAGGGCAGTGTGTGTAACCAGCGAAGAATGAAGACGGGGATGAAGACCTAGAGCCCTGCGGTACCTAGCCCCGCTGTCCTAAGGGGACCGGGACTCTGTGTAACCCAGAGGCGAGTGTAGTGGGTGTAGCCATAGGTCTACACGAGCCGAATGTATTATGTGTAGCCAGGGCATAGGGCTTACACGAGTCGAGTGTATTGTGTAGCCAGAGGCATAGGGCTTACACGAGTCGAGTGTATTGTGTAGCCAGAGGCATAGGGCTTACACGAGTCGAGTATATGGTGTGTAGCCAGAGGCATAGGGTCTACACGAGTCAAGTGTATCGGGTGTAGCCAGAGGCCTAGAGCTTACACGAGATTAGTGGAGTGTGTCGGAGGAAGAAGAAAGACCACACGTTGTATTGTGATACCTAAAGGATTTAATAAAAGTGTGTTACCCGTCAAGAAGTTCCTGCCGTCAATTCCCATACTTCAACTGGCGTCAGAAGTGAAACGGTCCTCCAAGCATGGATACAAGGAGGAACCGTCGGACCCACGGGATTGACCACAAGGACAACCTCGACGACGCGGCCCAGCGGGCATCAGGGGGTGAGGAAGAGGAGCTGCCCACGGGGCAGGATCCACCGACGGCGCCGGTCGAGCGACGGGGGACTGACACCGTGCTTCGCGAGGCACACTCCCGTCTGGCGGAGCTGCTGCTCACCGCCGCGTCCATCTTGGCGGAGATCAGCTCGTCGGGAGGAGCGGGGACGGCGGCCGACGTGCTACAGGGTCGCCCTGCAGATTCCCGCAAAAACGATTTGGCGATTCCCGCCATTTCATCCGCTCCAACTTTTGGCGGGAACGGCCATCACCACGTGGCAGCGGTTCTCCATGCGCGGCCGCTGACGTCA